CTCCCTTACTAAACGAGTTGACCTCTGCTTCCATTGTTTCTTCTTGACTATTGATGCCCAAAAAGGTGCAATGAAACTGCTCAGAGAAAGTTTTGGGTCTTTAAGCAGCAAAAGGTATTTATTCGAGCAACGTTGGGAAACTAGCCAGCTCTTGCTGGACAAACTAGCTTCAAAGTTATCAGTGTAAAGTCAGGTAATTTATACAGTTTTGGTGAGTGATTACATCTATACATGCATATTCATACAATTGCAACATCTAATCATAATATTCATAATAGGTGGAGTCTGGGCGGAGTCTGGGGTGGAGCCCTCTTTTGGGATGCTGTTCTGGTAGTTGTTCCAGTTTCTTCAGCCTCAAAGAGGGTCGTATTTTAGGAGTCTTCCTCGTGAACTCTTCAACTTTCTCTGTTTGGCTGACTTCCTAATGGTGAATTTTGCAAGATCTTGGACTCATGCCCCTATTTCGCCCCTTATCTCCTAAGGAACTCTTCGTTCGTGTTCTTATCTGGGTGTGTAGTTCTCTGGGATGCAAGGTACCATTCTTTAAAATTCCTAAGACCTAGCTTCTATCTCTAACTAAGCATTCTAAGTTAACTCTTTAGGCCTTTGCTCGGCTTCACTATCTCAGAGCAACTGATATAGCTGAGGATTGGGTTTCTGGTTCAGTGACAGTGTTTGTTTGTATGTCTTCGGATCCAGAGACCATCTCCTCTCCTTAGGGGGCCCCGCTAGACCTGCTGTTCACAAAGAGAGGGGCTGGTGGGAGATGTGGTGGTCAGAGGCCGTCTGGGGCACAGTGACCATGAAATAATAGAGTTTTCAGTACTCAGAGGCACAAAGACGGTCATCAATAAAACTTCTACCCTGGACTTCCAGAGGGCAGATTTCAGCCTACTCAGAAGGCCGGTTCAGAGGGTACCCTGGGAAACAGCCTTTGAAAACAAAGGGGTCCAGGAGGGATGGACATGCTTCAAGAAGGAAGTCTTGAATGCACAGGAGCTGTCCCAGCCTGCCGAAAGGTGAGCCAGCAGGGAAGACAACAGGTCTGGCTGAACAGGGAGATTTTGAAGGAAATAAGGGGAAAAAGGAGAACTTACCTGTCGGAGGTGGGCCAGCTGAAGCCTATAGAGAATGGAGAAAAATGTAGGAGGGCTGTGAAGGAGCCTCAGAGGAAGAAATCTATCTAGAAGTGCTTTGACAGCTGCAGCTGCAGGAAGTGCCTGAAATCCAGCGATAAGACGCAGCCTCACAGACCCCTGCAGAACCCCCCTGTCTGTGCCCCTCACCACTCCTTCCTTGCTCTCCCCTTCCCCTATATGGCCAGACATATTCCCTGCGGCCAATCCGTCCAAATTCCCTTATCACTGACCCTTGGGATTTGATGTTCCGAGCAGGGGTCCCACCTTTATTCCCGAACCTTCTGTATCCCCCTGTATATAAACTGACATCTTGTTTTAATAAATGCCATTTTGGGGTCATCAGTGTGTGACCGTCTCCTAACCAAGGTGTGCCTTGAGGGTCTATCGCGGGGATCAAACCCCCCCTCACGATACTTACCGAGTATGGAAAAAAGGGCTCATGGAGATTTTCGGAATATAGTTAGGTCACATAGAAAGAAAATAACAGAGACAAAGGCACAATTTGAACTCAATCTTGCCACTTCTGTTAGGGATAACAAGAAGTGCTTCTACAAATACATCAAAAACAGGGGCAAGGAAAACCTCCATTCTTCGTGGACATGCAGGAGAACATAGTCACCAAAGATGAGGAAAAAGCTGAGGTACTTAACACCTTCTTTGCCACAGTTTTCAACATTAGGACAGGTTGTCCTCAGGACAACTGGCCTCCGTAGATGGTAGACAGAGACAGGAAGCCAAATAGCCCCCCTGTATTTCAGCAGGAAATAGCTAGTGACCTGTTGAAACACTTGGATCCTCACAAGTCTATGGGACAAGATGCGATCCACCCAAGAGTGATGAGGGAGCTGGCAGAAGAGCTCACCAAGCCGATCTCCATCATTTACCTACAGTCCTGGCTCACTGGGGAGGTACCAGATAACTGGAAGTTGGCAAATGTCACACCAATACACAAAAAGGGCTGCAAGGAGAACCAGGGAAACTACAGGCCAGTCAACCTGATCTCAGTGCCTGGCAAGGTTATGGAGCAGATCATCCTAAGTGCAGTCAAACAGCATCTGCAGGATGGACAAGGGATCAGACCCACCCAGCATGGGTTTAGGAAGGGCAGGTCCTGTCTGACCAACCTGATCTCCTTTTATGATCAGGTGACCCCCCCCTTGGTGAATGAGGGGAAAGCTGTGGATGTAGTCTATCTGGACTTCAGCAAAGCCTTTGACACTGTCTCCTGTAGCATACTCCTGGAAAAGCTGGCAGCCCATGGTTTGGACAGGTGCACTCTGCTGGGTTAAGAACTGGCTGGATGGCTGGGCTCAGAGAGTGGTGGTGAACGGTGCTGCATCCAGTTGGCAACTGGTCACTAGTGGCGTCCCCCAGGGATCAGTGTTGGGTCCAGTTCTGTTTAATATCTTTATCGATGATCTGGATGAGGGGATTGAGTCCACCATCAGCAAATTTGCAGATGACACCAAGCTAGGGGGGTGTGTTGATCTGCTGGAAGGCAGGAGGGCTCTTCAGAGGGACCTGGACAAGCTGAAGAGATGGTTTGATTCCAACAGGATGAGGTTCAACAAGGCCAAGTGCCGGGTCCTACACTTTGGCCACAACAACCCCCTGCAGTGCTACAGGCTGGGGACAGAGTGGCTGGAGAGCAGCCAGGTGGAAAGGGACCTGGGAGTTTGGATTGACAGGAAGGTGAACATGAGCCAGCAGTGTGCCCAAGTGGCCAAGAAGGCAAATGGCATCCTGGCCTGTATCAGGAACAGTGTGGCCAGCAGGAGCAGGGAAGTGATCCTTCCCCTGTACTCAGTGCTGGTGAGGTCATACCTTGTGTCCACTTCTGGGCCCCTCAGTTCAGGAAGGATATTGAGGTGCTGGAGCAGGTCCAGAGAAGAGCAATGAGGCTGGTGAAGGGACTCGAGCACAAGTCCTATGAGGAGAGGCTGAGGGAGCTGGGGTTGTTTAGTCTGGAGAAGAGGAGGTTCAGGGGGGACCTCATCACTGTCTACAACAAAGGAGGTTGTAGCCAGGTGGGCATTGGTCTCTTCTCCCAGGCAATTAGCAGTAGGACAAGAGGGCACGGGCTTAAGCTCTGCCAGGGGAGGTTTAGGTTGGATATTAGGAAGAAATTTTTTACAGAGAGAGTAATCAGATATTTTTGAATGGGCTGCCCAGGGAGGTGGTGGATTCACCGTCCCTGGCGGTTTTTAAGAAGAGACTGGATGTGGCACTGAGTGCCATGGTCTAGTAGCCATGGTCGTGTTGGATCAAGGGTTGGACTTGATGATCTCAGAGGTCCTTTCCAACCTAGTTTATTCTGTGATTCTATGATTCTATGAATAGTTCTCAATAATTGTAGACTAGGCCCTAGAACAGTGTGAGAAGTTGTATCTCTGACATAGCCAGGGCATTCTTTTTTCAAGCATTCTGTCACTTAATCAGAATCCCCCACTTGTTCAGGGGTGAAGTTCTAGACCATTGTTAACAACTGTTCTCGGTACCTGTCCTTGTTGTCTCAAATTTGATGTACAGCAAAAAAAAAAAGCATGGGATGGATCAGATAAACCAATGCCAAGGACAGATTAGTCAGCATTACAACCAGTAATTGTTAAACAGATATAATAAGTTCCCCCCAATACACTCCTGCCAGTATCTCAAACCCTTTGATCCCCAAAAATGGCACCAAAAAGGACTGTGATGTTGTAATCCCTGTAAACAGCTAAACACCAAACAGCTGCTTGCTTGCTTCTCTCCCCCACAATGGTATGGGGAAGAGAATAAGAAGGGTAAAAGTGTGAAAACTCATGGGTTGAGATAAATATAGTTTAATAGGTAAAGTCAAAGATGCACACAAAATGGTCTGAAATGCAAGGTCTGTACTTTGCTTCCCTCAGGATCTTGATCTCCACTCAAGACTGCCACTGATTGCCACATCCTCAATTAGTTTATGAGCAGCATATTCAGCTGTGCATTCCCCAAGTTGGCCTATCCAACACCTCTATTAAGAAGTTTTCATCATAATTCACCCCCCCCCACAACACCCTTCAGAAGCCTCCTGGGATGTTTCTGTTCCATTGTTAATCTTACAGCAGATGTCAGGAAGTTTCAAGTCCTCCATAACACCCAGGGTCTATAATCTGGAGACTTCCCTCGGTTGTTTAAAGAAGGTCTTGTTCCTTTCTTCACACTGATCAGATGGTCTTTAAGAAGCTCACAGCATGATATCACCCCCTTACTAGTCTCTTCTCTGTTCCCGATCCACAAGCTCTCAGACAGCCTGTCATCTATTCAGTAGAAGAGCTCTATATGCTTGAGCTACTCCTTCGTGTTTTTCCTCTCAAATTGGAATCCCAAACCCCCCACGAACCGTATGTAAATGTTTAAAAAATCCCAGAAGGAACAAACTACTGGGCAATCCTCTCTGTTTCCTTGCCTGTCTTTCATAAAGAGTTGCTAGCTATAGCTGTACCATTTTATAGGACCATTTCCAGATAAAAGTTCTAGGTGAGATTCCTAATAGTACTTGATGAACTTTTGAAGTCTTTTCCTGTAAACATCTGAATGTATGTAAAATAGCTGCTAATAGATAGGATAAGAGACCAGATCATAAACCAGCATCCATTTTTTGTCAAAAATGCATGAGATTATGGTATAATTCTATGAAAGGAGCAAAGAAGCACAATATGTTTACTAGTTCTAAAGCTTGCCCTATATAATACACCATATTATTTATACCATTAAAATTTACACCAGGAAATAATAGTTTTTACTTTACATCAGGGAAAGCTGGATGAGCAATGAAACTCCAGGTTTTCCACCTCCTAAGTTTAAGTCCAGTCGATATAACTAGAGAACCATACTTACTGGAGGAGGCACACTACAGATAGGAAGGTGCTGTCCACTGAAGACCACAGAACAACCTGGGACCTGTTGTGTGCTGCAGGGTGGTATATGCTGGGCTGTACGAAGTGGAATTCCATGTGGCGCCACCGTTGTCACCGTGTATGAGATGGGGACTGCACCCTGATGGATCTGCAGCAAAAACACGTGTATGAAGTAAGCTGTTACAAGGGCTTTGAACAGTTATGGCATGGCATAGAAAAAAAGCTTTTACATAACATAAGGAAAAAGCATTTTTTACTCTGAGGGTGCTAGAGAAGGCAAATACCTCCATCCCTGTCCTTTACCAAAAAAAAGTAAATAAAATCTTCTCATTAGAGTATCACTCTTCAGTCAGTGCATTTAGGACAAGGCCAGGAGGGGCCTCTCAAGATTTTAAGTCCTCTAAGGCACCATTAGAGACACTCAAAAGCATCTCAAATTCAGAAAAGCTGCCCCTCACACACTAAGGTTAGTTCTTGGAAAAAAATAGGCAGCAGTAACCACCGTTTAAAAGCCAGCCAGAAAAAGGAAGGGGGGACTACACCCCTACAAGCAGTTAAAGAATCTCTTCAACTCATCCTTGCCAGAGACTTATATCTTTAAAGAAAAAGAATTTCAGACAGATTTTCTTTCCTGTAAATAAACCAATCTCTGAATGCCTACTCAGCGCAACACTCCAGAGATGTGTCTTTACATCAGTAAAAGCAGTAGTTGAAATCAAAGATTAATAGTAGAGAACATCATGGCTTACAGCTTTTTTTAGATAGCAATATTCACTTAGAACTCAATCATCAATCCAAGGGTAGAAAGTACTCGGGACCCAGACACTGCTCAACTTCTTGTACTACATTAGGAATCTAGCAAAAATTGTGAAGAATCATAGGCAGGTAATTTGGATCCACAGAAAGCAATTTTTTTAAAGAACCTTCTATCACAACCTGCTAAAATGAAATTCACCCTAGTAAAACAAACAAGCCAGAATAGCTCATTACAAAGGTGAGAATAAACAAATTGAAGAGAGATAACCTACTGAACTGGTCATGAGATGTAGAGGCCAAAACAGGAACAAACACAGATGACTGAATAACATTTCAAATCTCAAGACTGCACATATTTGGGAAAAAAGTCACTCAGGAGAAACAGTGACTTTGACCTAATTCCACTTCAGGTACCAATGCAAATATTTTGTATGTGAGCTATGAGAGAATTTTTAACACCATTAACTGTCAGATATTTGAGGACAGTGCCAGAAGTAATTCAGGAGAGGTTATCACTGCTCTCACTGCATAAAGAAAGAAAAGAAAGAAAAAAGATTAAGTAGTTCCCACTATACAGAAGTCTGTGCAAAGCACCATCATGAAGGACCCATAGTAACTCTGAATGCATTAACACCTGATTGTGGATGGTGTTTGGAAGGTAGTAACAGCATTATAGAACAATCATTACACAAGATGACACTGTAAGTCTGATCAGCCAAGGATAAACACAAATTGTATTTTTATTTTGAAATACTTTAGTAACTCAACTGTCCAAATACAAGTGAAGGTTGTGACATGGCCAGAAAGACTTTTAGCTTTCACCTATATGCTCTGCTACAGGTGCAGATACTTCCTTGAGCAGTGCTCTGCACAGAAAATAGATCACTGATGTGCTGCTGTACTGAGTGCAAGTCACTTTATAAGATGTGATGTAAGAATTGCATTTTAAGCCAGGCAGTCTGTGACCTGGATATAGAATCATAAAATCATTTAAGTTGGAAAAGACCTCTAAGATCATCAAGTCCAACAATTAACCCAGCACTGCCAAGTGTTAGGATCCAATTATTAAAAGATGCCTCTGCCCAAATTAAGGTGCAAATGAGACCATACGCCAAAGTCAATAGCATGGATTTTATTTAACAGTAAATGTGAGTTAGAGAGACAGAAAGAAATAGGAGGAGACAGAGAGATGGGGGGAGAGAGAAAGAGAGTGAGAGAGATTAAGTAAAAGATCACCATCATGTGGATTTCGACAGTGTCCCGCCAGTCCTTCTTCTTCTGGTCTTCTTGGTGGTGAGGGTCCCAAAGTCATGTTTCTGGGGTACCACTTTTATACAGTCCAAGTCCCAGATATTCATAGGGCGTCGCAGATGTTCCCATAACTTGGGATGGCATGGGTGTAAGCAGTTGTTTTCTTTCCAACATCCTGCACAATGGAATTTTGTCTTGTGTGCTAATTTTAAACCTTTACCTTCGTTTGGGTCTGGAAATAACACCTTCCTTTCTCACAGTTTTCCATGGTGGGAATCTGTCCAGATAGGTTACCCAGATCTGCCTTACCAGACCCAGTTCCTGTTGTTGCCATCTGCTCTTATCCCAAATACCTGTCATGGTAGCTTATGAGAATTTCCTTCTTTGACAGTGCTTTGAGACAGTTAACTGCATTCTTTAAGTCTTGACACCAAGTCCACCACTAAATCATGTCCCTAAGTGCCCCATCTACACATTTTAAGTACCTCCAGGGATGGTGACTCAACCAGTTCTGTGGGCAGCCTGTTCCAATTCTTGACAACCCTTCCCATGAGGAAATTTTGCCTAATAACTAAACTAAACCTCCCCTGGGGCAACTTGGGGCCATTTCCTATCATCCTGTCAATTGTTACCTGAGAAAAGAGACAGACATCCACCCGGCTACATCCTTCTTTCAGGTAGCTGTAGAGAGCAATAAGGTCTCCCCTCAGTGTAGCAAGCCAGCATGAGAACAAGAAAGAAGAAGATCAGAAAGGCCTGGAAAATGTTTATATGACCTTGTATTTTTTATCTAAAGCCTTGATTTATGGTCCAGGGAGTAGAGCTGTGTTCACGGGGGGAGTGTAGAGTAACTTGAAACTCCTAGGCTCTGTGTGTGTGCATGAAAGGTTGGCATGTGAGAGTGATTGATGTGTGACTTGCAGCTGTGTTCTGCCTTGATTTGCCTAACCACTCCCAGTGGGAAGTGAATGATATAAATACCCTGGATCAGGGGGATGTCTCAGTTTAATGAGACACAAGTGTTTTGCTGAGGATGAGTTATGAAGAAGACCCAAACTCCTCCCTCTAAGCAATTGTAAATCCAAAATTAGGAGGCTCCAATTGAGAAAGTGTGGAAAAAGGAAAAAATAACAGCCCTTTATTAAAAGATATATGTGTACGGGCAGAACAACAAAAAAAACATAAATAAATCAACCAAACAATAGTCCTATAGCCAAAAATAATCCCCTTCAAAACAAACAAAAGATAAACAGTTCAGTTTGCATCCTTTGGCGCAATTGTAACCACAGTCAGCAGGAGGCGCTTTTGGATCACTGGTGGTTGCCACGTGGGGGGGCCCCCGGGTGTGCTGGAGAAGCCTAAAATGGAGGTCTTCCCTCCCCCTCACCAGGAAAGGGGAAAAAGGAGGGAAAGAAAACAAAGTTCTTCCCAACAGGAACTCACTCTGTCTGCAGCTGGACCACATGGTGTGGCTTCCCCTCTGCTTTGATGTGCACAAGAACCGCTGCCCAAAAAAACCCCTATGGGAACAGAGGAGGGGAAAAAGGTGACCTCCTTCCCAAATAGCTCCTCTCTGATGTAAATCCAAGCAGGTTCCGGGCTGGGTAGAAAACAGGGCGCAGGCGAACCGGGGCCAGGAGAGAAAAAGAAAAAAAATCAAAACCTGCCGGGCAGCCAGGCTGAGAACAAAGCAACCTCAGAGCTCCTGCCACCCAAACCTTGTCCCAGCTCAGGCAACAACAAAGTCCATGCCGTTTTCCAGGAGAAGAAAAAAAAGTAAAAAAACTCCTCACCCTTCCCCACAAACTCTTGAGGGCCATCAACTTGGAATGTGACTCTGCTAGCCCCTTCTTTTGTGTTAGTCCATTAACTAAGGCACAGCCAACCTGCCCATTCAACATCCCTTTCACACAGTGGGCAGGGTGAAGGGAAAATTCCTGCTTAGTTTCCCAGAACAAGCAAAACCATGACAGGGGAATAAAGTGATTTCTGTCCATCCAGCCAGAGGTCCGTGAGTCATTCCATCACACCTCAGTCTCCTTTTCTCCTAACTAAATAACCCCAGTTCCCTCAGCCACTACTCATAAGACTTGTTCTCTAGACCCTGCACCAGTTTTGTTGCCCTTCTCTGGACTTACTCCAAGACCTCAATGTCACTCTTGTAGTGAGGGGCCCAAAACTAAACCTAGTACTCAAGGTGCGGCCTCACCAGTGGCAAGTACAGGGGAAGAATCACTCCCCTGGTCCTGCTGGCCACACAATTTCTGATACAGGTCAGGATGCCATTGGCCTTCTTGGCCACCTGGGCACACTGCTGGCTCATGTTCAGCTGCTGTTAACCAGGACCTCTAGGTCCTTTTCCACTGGTCAACTTTTCAGACATTCTTCCCCAAGACTGTAGCATTGCAAGGGGTTGTTGTGACCCAAGTGCAGAATGAGGCACTTGACCTTGTTGAACCTCATACAATTGGTCTTGGATCATTGATCCAGCCTGTCCAAAGCCCTTTGCAGAGCCTTCCTTTACTCAAGTAGGTCAATACTCCTGCCAACTTGGTGTCATCTGCAAACCCGCTAAGGTGCACTTGATCCTCTTGTCCAGATCATTGATAAAGATAATGAACAGGACTGGCCCCAATACTGAGCTCTGGGGAATACCTTTAGTGACCAGCTGCCAACTGGATGCAACTCCATTCACCACCACTTTCTGGGCTGGGCCACGCAGCCAGTTTTTTACCTAGTGAAGAGTGCACTCATCCAAGCTATGAGCAGTCAGTTTCTCTAGGAGAATGCTGTGTAAATAGTGTGAAAGGCTTTACTTAAGTCTAGGTAGATAACACCCACAGCCTTTCCTTCATGCACTAGGCATGTCACCTTGTCATTCAAGGAGATCAGATTAGTCAAGCAGGATCTGCCCATGCTGGCTGGGCCTGATCCCCTGGTTCTCCTGTACATGCCACATGATGGCACTCAAGATGATGTGCTCCAAGCACATCATCCACAAGTACTTCTCTGTTCACAAACAAGAGGTGCAATGGAGTACTTTCCCTAGTTGGCTCACTCACTAGTGCATCAGGAAGTTATCATCTTCCACACACTCCAGGAACCTGCTAGACTGTTTCCTCTCCACTGTATAGTATTTCC